CAGCTGTGAGCTGCCATGTGGTTGCTGAGAATTGAACCCGGGTCCTCTGGAAGAGCAGTCAGTGCTCTTAACCACTGAGCCATTTCTCTAGCCCTGAAATACTATCTTTCAATGTGGCTTTTCAAAAGTTACCTCCCCATAGTCCCTCCTTTATCCTGTTCTCACGTTCTCAACCCCATTTGATTCTCTAGTCTCCCTTTCATCCCTGGATAAAACCATACTATAAACCAGCTGTGGGGACACACGCCTTTAACTCCAGCACTCTAGAACTCTGTGAGTTAGATGCCAGCCTGATCTATATATCAAGTTCCAGGATAGCCAGGGCTACATAATAGACCACGTCTTACACTAACAAAAAAGCAAAGCTGTATTCTATTTCCTCCTTCCTTAGAAGATCACATCCTCCCTCCTGGTCCCTGGAACTTGCTGTGCAGACTAGGCTGGTCTCAACCTCAGAGATCTGCCTGCATCTGCTTGCAAGTTCTGGGACTAAAGGAATGAGTCATCACACATAGCTTTGGGCTTTTGTTTGGTTTGCTTGTTTCATGAGAGAGAACATGAAATTGGGTGGGTAGGAAGGTGGGGAGGATCTGAGAGAACTTTAGAACAAAATACATTGTATAAAAAAATTAAAAAATATATAATAAAAACAAAAACATACACATCAAAAGAAACACCCAAAGAGATTTTCTTGGTTTCAACAGCACTTGTTAAACAGAAACACACAACACATACTGTGCAGGTGCTTTAGCACCCACACACCTATACTGTGCCCTCAGAACAGCCTTCAGAAGTAATAACTGCACTTGACAGGAGAAGGAGGACGCTTTGAAGGTGAAGAGACTGGTTTATGACCACGAGGTCATTATTACTTGAAATATGGAAACTGGGCCCAGGTCTGACTCAAAATTCAGAGTGCCTTCTATGAGGCCACAGTTATATTTACCCAGCCAGTTGCATTCCTAGTCAATATGATAGTAATAGTTGTCACTAATGTGTATCCAGCTCTTACAAGACAACACTAATGATCCCTAGCTAACACTTGTGATCACCCCATAACTAGCTTTACCAGGAACTCACTCCAGAGCTGGAGGAGGCTCAGCGGTTAAGAGCTTCCCACCAGAAAACTCGAGGTCAATTCCCACCAACAACCACGTGGTGGCTCACAACTACCTTTAACTCCAGTTCCAGGAGATCCAATGCTCTCTTCTGGTCTCCTTGAGCACCAGACTTGCAAGTGATGCACAGACATACCTACAGGCACCCATAGACACAAAATAAATTAGTATTTTAAAAAAGCGAGTGTGTGTGTGTGTGTGTGTGTGTGTGTGTGTGTGTGTGAGAGAGAGAGAGAGAGAGAGAGAGAGAGAGAGAGAGAGAGAGAGAGCTCTCCAGTCCATGGTTAAGAAAACTGAGTTTCCTGAAAGTTCAGTATGAGTCTGTCTAGTCCTAGAGTCCATCCTCTCCCCCTCCCCGCTCTCCCCCCACCCCACCGCGAGACAGGGTTTCTCTGTAGCTTTGGTGCCTGTCCTGGAACTAGTTCTTCTAGACCAGGCTGACCTCGAACTCACAGAGATCCGCCTGCCTCTACCTTCCAAGCACGTGCACCACCACTGCCTGGCTTAGAACCCATTCTCTTAATCTTCTACCAGAATGAAGGAAACTCAAGTCCTGGCTTTACCTAGAGAATCCTCTGACAGTTCTATTTCAATTTCCTTGTTAATTAAATAGGGTTATGGTTACTTCTGCCTACCTACTCCACAGAGATACTGGGATGATGAGAGGAGAAAAAGCAAAAGCGTTAGCAGGGAAATTGCTATATAAATCTGGATCCTCTCACTCCGTCCCCATTGCAGGACCATAAAGGGATTTAGCTGGCATCATTAGCTCTCACAACCCTCTGAAGTGGGTAGGAAGTAGTATTATCGTTACTTATCAAAGAGTGGAAGTGCAAGGAAATGACATAATCTGAGAGCCAGTGGTAAACCTGGGAATAAAACCTAGACTTCTAACTCCCACTGCTTATGCTCTCAGGGTACAGCCTAATTTTTTATACTTCCAAATTAATTATAAAATAGTCAAGGGCAGGAACATCAGTGTCCACTTCAAAGCAGAGATTAAATACTTACAGAGATGAGATTCCCACCACAGTGACACTGATGTATTCGTCAAGGCTCTTAAGCCTCACAGTCTAAAGAAACTGCATGATTCAAGAGGAAAAGCTCCCATTCCCTTCTAAGGGACACCAGCTCTTCATCATGCTCAATTAACCTATTACTCACCAAAGGCTACAAAACTAGATTTTATTACTTAGTTTATACTGGTGAGTCTATCCCCCTTCCTCAAAAAACATAAAACCTCATTACTAAACTGCCCCCTCATAAGATCAGAGAAAAAGGGACCAGGCGTGGGGGCACACACCTTTGGTCCAGCATTTGGAGGCAGAGACATGGATTTCTGTGAGTTTGAGACAAGCACAGCCTACATAATGAGATCCAGACAGCCAGAGCTACAAAGGACGACCCTGTCTTAATTAAACAGACAAACAAACCAGACAAAAAAGGAAGAAAATGAAAAAGATGTCAAAGAAAAAGGAGTATCAAACACATTCTCACATCATAAACACTTACCTGAGCTGTATGCTTTGGTTTGGAGGGTGTTCTAACATACCAACCCATCACATCATGAGATCAACATGCAAGCTTCCAAGGGAACAGTATAACTAAGATGATCATGAAAATACAGTAGCACCATTCTAAGTCATTCTCTTCCTCTACACAGCCCAGACAGCAATCATGTGCTTCCCACCCAAGACTTCAAACATACACAAATCTTTAAGTAAAATAAGAAGTAGTGGGCCAGGTGTGGTGGTGCATGCCTTTAGTCCTAACACTCAGGGGGCAGAGGCAGGAGAATCTCTGTGAGTTCAAGATTAGCCTGGTCTACAGAGTGAGTTCCAGGACAGCCAAGGTTACACAGAGAAGCCCTGTCTCAAAACAACAACAACAACAACAAAAAAAAAAACCCCACAAAAAACCAAACCAAAACAACAAAACAAAAACAAAAAAGTAGTAATGGTGGAGGGGTCTGAGATTTAGTCAGTAAAGTATGCAACATGAATTCTAATCGGTCTTAATAAATAAAACCTGGAGTCAGATATTGGGGTGAATGCCGAAGGATCAGAGAAGCAGTGCAGTCAGTCACTAGAGACCTTTTTCGTCTATAAATGCTCAGACCAAAGTGGGTGATCCTGTCCTCAGACTGCATCTTCAGACTGCAGGGGCAATCCTCAGACTGCACTGAGTTCTTGTCTCCTCCTGCTTCATATTCTTCTCTCCGTCCAGCCATATCACTCCTGTCTCCACCTCCTAGTGCTAGGATTAAAGGTGCTGGGATCACCTTTGTGACCTTCAGGCAAGCTTTATTTGTTAAGACACAAACTAAATATCACTACAAAAATGCTCGCAGTTCAGGCATAAGGACCCGAGTTCAAGTACCAGGACCCACACAGACACAGCAAGGCACGCCTACAACTCCAGCATTGCAGAGGTGCAAACAGGTGGATCCTGGGGCTAGCCAACTAATCTAGCCAAATCAGTTCCAGGTTTAGTGAGAGACCCTGGATCAAAAAGAGAAGGTGGAAAGAGACTGGAGGGGATACCCAACGGCAGCCTTTGGCTTCCACACACAAGCACACACTTCCTCTTGCACACACACAGACACGCAAGCACACACACACACACACACACACACACACACACACACACACACACGTACGTAATGGGACCAGTTCTGTCTTCAATGAGGAATGAGCGTTCAGTTTAGCTCTCTTAATGTTTGTTTTCTAGAACACCACCAATCTCCTCAGTTATTTCTAGTTAACAAGCACACAATTTGCAATCACCACAGGAGTAGGAAGCGAAAACAAGAAATGTCCACTGAGTCCAGATCCACAGAATCCTCATGACTCTCCGACTGACTGAAACACAGTGCGTCATTTTGTCAGAGACAAAAACCAAAGCACAAGAATCAAAGTCATTCTAAGAGAAAGCCACACTTCATCTCAGCCAAGAGGCTGAGAATACAAAATCCTACGAATGTGAAGAGAGTTTGCTTTGCGGGTGGAGTGGCTTGAGCTCTCTGAGCCACTCCCAGCTGTGTGCTCTGAGAGAAGAAATTGATGACATGTGGTTCTGAGATTTCTCAGAGGCCATCTTTCCCACAATGCTCTACTTTTCCCTTGAGAGAAATATTTTTCTGACTTCTGTAATCAAAACCAATGCCATTTTCTGTTGGGCCAGTGGCCCTAAGATCTCTTGAACTTTATTATAGATGAGAATTACTTGGGGATCGTGTTAAACTACAAAATATGACTCAGAAGGCCTGGGCTGAAAGCCTACCACGCTCTCAGCTCATGCCAACGCTACTGTGTGATGGGCCATATTTTACAGTAGTAGGCCCCCAAGGAATGTTTCCAAATAGAAATAACCTACATCAAATGCTTCTGAAAATACAATCCACACAGCTCTCCAGGGGAAGAGCATTCTGGAGTCCACACACTTAGTATCTGGTGCTCAGTGCACTCTTACAATCTTTCTTTACCCACCTGGTTGCACACTGCCTCAGTCACTGTCTACTGCTGCAATAAAACACCGTTACCCAAGAAACTTATAAAAGAAAGCATTTAATTTGGGGCTCATGGTTTCAGAGGGCAGAGTCCGTAACTGTCATGGTGGAGGGCATGGCAGCAGGCAGGCACGCGTGGCCCTGGAGCAGCAGCTGAGCTCACACCGTGTGGCACAACCATGAGGCAGAGAGAGTCAAGTGGGACTGGTGTGGGCTCTGAAACTTAAAGCCTGGCCACAGTGACACACCTTCTTACCCTTCCCAAACAGTTCACCAACTAGGAACCAAGTATTCACACAGGAGCCCGCGGGCCAGTCTCATTCAGATACCACATAAACCCATTTAGTACCTTAATAAAGAGCAACCTTCGTGAATGTGTGTGAGTGTGCTGACAGTTTATTGAGGCTTGTCTGATTGGAGCTTGCATGGGTGGACATACAACATCAGGGCTTTTTTTTGTAATAAAAGACAATTCAAAATAAATATGTATTAAAAACTATGTCAAACACTAAGGAATAATTGACATTTACAGATTTTAAGAAAATTATTTAGGATTAATCATTTTCATTTTCCCCACAAAATAAATAGCTCACTTAACTTTCATTATGCAGGAGGAAAAGAGTCAAACAGAAATAAAGTCATGCCCATGGCATCGTCATCATGTGATTTCAGTGAGGAAAATCTTTACCAAGATTAAGACACAGAAAAGTATCTGAGGAGAAGTACGTTACTGAGTTGTCAGAACCTGCGTTCGGGGAAAGAGAACAAGTGGCAAAGTTGAGGAAAACTTCAGATGGAAAGTCCATACCCCTTGCGAAAACTAATAAACACCCACAAACTTACATTTTCAGGTTTTCAATATTTCCATATTAGTCTAACCTCCACCCCCAAATCCAAGCAAACACCATAAAAATTAAGTTGGTAATAGGCCTAGCCAACTCCACTCCCTGTTTAGCCTTTGGAGCCTTTGGAGCCAATGACAGGAATGACTGTGGTGTGGATGGAACCAGAGGGAGAGGAGAGCTGTGCCTCTTCTCTCTGTGCAGCATGTGCATCTCCACACTGCTCTGTGGAGGACCTCAGTGCTTGTGTGTGCTCTTCAGGCCCATTACAGTGAAGGTAGCAGCTGTCAGTTTCTCATACACCAAGAACATGAGGGCAGCCGTGAGCACGGTCTGGAGCAGCTTGGCTTCAAGGCCTTTGTAGAGTCCCATTATTCCAAAGCGTCTGAAAGGAAAGAGGTTGGGAAAAAATAGATTTTCTTTGTAAATATCAGATCTGCTGCCCTGATAGCTTCTCTCTGAAAGGGTTTTTCTTTAGGAGCAAACAAGCAATAGAGATTTTCAATTCCAACAGACTTCTCAGCCTTGAAGGCACTTAGGAACAGATGAAGTTTAGTATTCAGAAGCCACTGATACTTTGTCTTTACTATAGTCCTCACTTATTAGTGGGATGCTAGCAACACCGCACTACTAAGCTGCAGATCTGAAAGCTTCTGAAACCATTGGAATGCTCAGACCAGAGATCTAAGAACTTCTACGTTTAATGGGCCTCCAATTCAGTTATTTCAACTTAACAGCCCCTAAGTGGTAGGAAAGTCATTAATTAGTTTAGATTATTTTCACTTCAGTAGAAATAAGAGAAGAGACAGAAATGAAAAGCTGTCTGATTCTTAGACTGCCTGTACATTTGGTTCTAGGGCTTAAGTTAAATTCAGCAAGCACCTAAGTCACCTGAAGAACTGGTTAAATACAGGTCTGCTGGTCCATTTCCAGAGTATCTGATTCATTTCATTAACTTTGGGACAGGAATCAAAAAATTTGCATGTCCAACTAGCTCCCAGGTGCTGAGGAGGAGCATGCTCTTCTGGGGACAGCACTTAAGAGCTCCTCAGAATGCTTTGGCTAGAACCTGAAACTCAAAGCAAATAATCCCTCCAAAACTATTTGCTAAAAGTGAGTTAGTCTCTTATGCTAGTTCAAGAGCAACTCCAGCCTGCGGATTGACATTAAACTAATCTGGTGCCCGAATCAAGCAAGTTTATATGCTTGTTGTGAAATTTTATTATTTATTTTATGTGAAAAGGAGGGCAGAAAACTGGACCCATGCATTTCCTGTTCACTGTGTTCTTCAGGGTGACGTCCACCCACAGTGGAAGTCCCAGGGCTGCTGAGACTGCAGGCTTCAACACCCCATCCCAGAGGGAAGGCGAAGATCTACATTGTGACAGGCATTTCAACTGCATTTTCTTTTTACAGACAGGGTCTTTTTTTTTTTAAATATTTATTCATTTATTAAGCATACAATGATCTGTCTGTGTGTATGTCTGCAGGCCAGAAGAGGGCACCAAACCTCACTACAGACGGTTGTGAGCCACCATGTGGCTGCCGGGAATTGAACTCAGGACCTTTGGAAGAGCAGGCAATGCTCTTAACCACTGAGCCATCTCTCCAGCCCTACAGACAGGTCTTATGTAGCCCAAGCTGGCCTCAAATTTCTTACATAGCCAAGGTTGTCTTTAACTCTTGATTCTTCCACCACTTTAGGTACGCACATCACAGCTGACTTCAGATGATATTGTGCATGTATGTGTGTGCATGCCTTAGCACATGCATAGCCCAGAAGTTGACTTGAGTATCTTTTTTTTTTTTTTTTTAAAGACAGGGTTTCTCTGTGTAGCCCTGGCTATCCTGGAACTCACTCTGTAGACCAGGCTGGCCTCAAACTTACAGAGATCCACCTGCCTCTGCCTCCTGAGTGCTGGGATTAAAGGTATGCGCCACCACTGCCTGGTTGATTTGAGTATCTTTATCTATCACAGTCCACCTTATTTTTTCATTTCTAATTTTTTGAGACCAAGCCTCTTACTGAAGCTAGAACTTGCTGTTTTGGCTAAACTGGTTGGCCAAGCAAACCTCCAGGACCCATGTGTCCTCACTCATCAGTGCCGGAGGGACAGCCACACACTGCCACACCTGGATTTTTATGTGGATGCTAGACATCTGAACTCAGGTTTTCATGCTTGCACGACAAGCACTTTACCAACTGAGCCATCGCCCCAGACCTTCAGGTGATTCTCAATCACATAAATGAGAGGCTCAGTATGGCATTGCATTATCGATGACAGTAACCATTAGGCAGATGTGGCAATTCAAACAATGCAAACTTGGTTTCTTGGAAGCACTGGCACTATCCCACAGCTCAACAGCTACCTGCAGCTAGTCTCAGCCCTACTGGATAGTGCTGGTGCTCCCATCACCATAGAACACGGCACTGAAGAATGGCAGTTGTTCATCTGGCGCTGCCTCTAGTGTTGGGCAAATCAATTTCTCTAAATCTGCTACTTGATTTGCAAAATAGGAATATAGTCACTTTTCTACAGGGCTGAGTGAGGACCAAACAAGATAAACATGTAAAAATAATTTGCAAATCGTAGGACCTCATCGGTCTCCAACTGACAACATCTTAAATGGCCTGGTAATGTCCATTGTTCTTAACCTTCTCCGTGCTGGCAAAAAGACTGGAGGTCAACTGCCAATGTCTAAATTTCTAATTCTTGAAATTATACAATGTCAAAATTGTATGTACTCTAGTTCTCTTAAGTAGGTAATTGCACATAAATTATGACTGCTTAATTCTAGGAGGCTCAGTTTATGCTCTTCACTCGGCAGTGCTTGTGAAGATCCTGCACACTCATCAGTATGAGCACCAGTGAGTAAATCAGTGTGTCACATCACAGGAAACTAATACAACCGGAAGGGAGGGGCATGGTGTTACCGTTACTAAAAGAGAGAAGTTGAGGAAGGAGGATTGAGGCCAGCCTGGTCTACTTGACAAGTACTAGTCCAGTCAGGGCTTCATAGCAAAGCCCTGCCTCAAATAAATAAATAAATAAATAAATAAAAACAAAATAGTAAGCTGAATATATACACTGAAAACATTAGTTTCCTATCATTCTCTAGAAATGTGTATACTTTATAGGGACTACCTCTTGGGAAAGGAATAAAAAGAAAGGGAAAATGTTTTTAAATATAAGTATATATGCATCATTTATTGACATTTAACTGGCTTTAACCTGGTGAATTTTTGTTTAGTTTTATTTATTGATTGTTGAGACAGGTTTCACTATGTGGCCCCAGTTGGTTTAGAACTAGCTCTGTAGAGCAGGCTGGCCTCAAACTCACAGATCTGTCTGCCCCTGCCTCCCGAGTGCTGGGATTAAAGGAGTTAAAGAAGTGTGCTATGATGCCTGGCCTCTTTCTTCTTTATTTTTTCTTGGTGTTAGGGTTTGAACCCAGGGCTATGCAAGTACTAGGCACAGGCTCTGCCACCAAGTTCTGTTCCCAACCCTTTGGGGGTTCCCTTCCCAAAGGAGTTCTGTATATTTGTAACTAGCAAGGAATAAGGGCCTGAACTTTTCTGTAATTCCCCAAATTGCCGTCAAATCACACTAAGCTCCTAAACTGAGAAAAACTTAAACAAGAGGGGGAGATTTCTGAGGCTGCTGCAGCACTGATGGGAAACAGCTCACCCGACCACCCCCATCACTCCCAGCAGAGTGAGGCTGCTGAAAGGAAGCCCAGGTCAGCAAACAGAGCTCACTTGACTCGCTGGTGAAGAAGATAGAGAACATTCCGAAGACTCCCCAGGGTTCTGTTTTCTGGGTTTAGTCTATGACGTCCAAACTGGGAAGGAAGGAAGACAGAAAAAGAGATAATTACTATTTATCACTCTTTATCTTAAATTTCATTTTTAAAAAGAAATTTATTTATTTTAACCATGTGTACATGTGTGTGTCTGTGTATGTGATGTATGCATTTGAATGCTGGTGCCCACAAAGTGAAGACAAGGGTATTGGGTCCCCAGGAGCTGGAGTCACAGGAGGCTGTGAGCCTTCTGACATGGGTGCTGAGAAGTGAACTTAGGTACTGTGCTCTTAACCACTGAGTCATCTCTCCAGCCCCTCTTCATCTTAATTTCTACTCAGTAAATTTCTTTGGAATAACTCTCATAGCACAGTGTTTGATTATAAAAAACGGTCCAATTAGCACTACTGATTTTATTAATCCTCTTTTTCAACTAAATAAGCTAAAAATAAAAATATTTTTCAATAAAGGAAGTATTTTTGTCATTGTTATTGTTCTGGGGGAATTATACCAAAGGCCTTCAATATGATAAAACAAATACCCTTACCACAAACCTACATCCTTAGCATCAATAACTTTCATTTTTACAAAGAATTAAGGGAAAACTCTTATCAGCACAGACAAAACAAGACAGAAGCACATGCCTGGGATGATACACAGACATGCTGTGGGTGGTAGCTTCCAGTTATTTAAGATCCCTCTATTAAAAGCCAGTTAAAAACAACACATAAAAATGGCACATTAGCAAAAACACTTTTCATAGAAAGTCGTGTTCTTACTGATATACTACCGCGCTGGTTAGAAAGAAAATGACCCCCAAAGGGAGCGGCACCATTAGGCGGTGTGGTCCTGTTGGAGGAAGTGTGTCACTGCACAGTCAGGCTTTGCAGTCTCAAGCCTGACTCAAGCTAGGCCCTGTGAGACGAACCACTCACTTCCTGTTTCCTAAAAGATGTAGGACTCTCAGTTACTTCTCCAGCACCATGTCTGCCTGCATGCTGCCATGTCTCGCCATGATGATAATGGACTAAACTTCTGAACTATAAGCGAACCACCCCTATTAAATGTTTTCCTTTGTAATAATTACTGTGGTCATAGTGTCTCTTCACAGCAATAGAAACCCTGAGACAACTACCTTCATTTTCTCTGGCAATAAATCCTTTAAATGTTCTCTGAACAACAGATTTTTAAACAATTTTTCTTTTTTCTCTTTTGTGGTGCTGGGGCTCAAACTCAGGACCTTGCTCATGCTAACTAGTCCCAGTACAGTGGTATTCTGAGCAGCATACCAAGCCCCAGTACAGACACTGAATCTGCCTACAGCTCATCTCCACTGCTGCTAACCTAGTCTAGGCTTATCAAGCCCTCACCTAGAGTACTAAAATGGTTGCCTAACTGATTGGTCCTCTTTCAGTAAGGCCTCTGTTGCTTTCTTCTCTGGATCTCTGCCTTACTGCCTTAAGACTGGTTCTCACTGAACCAGAAGATCTGCCTTTCTTCAGGCCCCTACTCCCCAAGCCCATGCTGGGGTCACAAGTGTGGGAAGCCATGCCTTACTCTTTCAGTGGATGCTGGAGATTTGAACTCAGGTTCATATGCTTGCAGACCCTACCTCTCAGCTTCTGATCCATCCGCTACAGAAGAGCTGCACAGACCTCACAGGCCTTCCAAGGCCCTACCTCAGATCATACATTTCCACCTCAAAGTCCTCCGCAGGCCAACTCTTCCCGCCACTTTCCTCACCCACAGCTTTCCTCTGGTTCTTCCAGACTCATGCTGGGCAAGCCACGCCCAGCTGCAGAGGCTTCCTTTCGGTTCCTAAGATGAAGGAAGCTCTTGACATGGCACTCTCCCTCTTCTGGGATGCACTGTCCCCCCATCTTTGTATGGCACAAGCTTCATATTCCCTTGTACCTGGATTTCCATGTGCCTCCTCAGAAGGGCAGGCGTTCAGCCAGATGCCCAGGAAGAACCCCACAGTTCTCTTCAGTAAGCCAGTGCTGTTCATATGCTCAACAGTGGATTCAGTTTATAATAATTACTTGGCTCTTTCCTTGCTGTCTTCATGAGGACGGGAGCTACACTGCAACCCCAGCTTCTCAGTGTCTAAAACTGTCTGTCTGTATAAACAACCAAATGTATAAAAAAAAATCCTGAAGTCTGAAAGTGATCTGGAAAGGCTAACTCATTAGTAACTGGTTCTGTCAGGGGTCATCTGCTTCATGGCACATGGCAAACAATGTGAATGGGAAGGAAGCAAACTCGGGTTGTCCTGAGGTCCTTGAGGAATCTGTTTGCACAGACGGTTTTCCTGAGACAATACATTACTAAGAAATTCCTTAGTAATTCACTCACTCCTTGCCAGCCGAAAGCCTGGTTAGCAGAGTATTGCACACAGGGGAGAATGGGCACGAACACTCAGGCACACCACCTGCATTACTGCACTGAAGATCTTAGGATGTGTTTTAGATGTCACTGGGCCCACTCTGGGGGGAACCCCAGCACTTACCCTCAGAATTGACTGTACCGTCTGCATGGGATAAGTGACTGTGGTGGCCACCGCTTTGGCTATTGCACCAATGATGAACACATCCAGAGAAGAGAGCTGGAAAGCAGAGGGGGAGCATTTCAGTCAGACAAGAAAACAGGCATTTCTTTTAGTCATTTTTAAAATTAGGGATTACCTTCATCCGCTTCTTTAAAAGCTGCCGTTTCAAGCCTTCGTAGAACATGAACTGGATGGCAGGGTTGAAGACCAACAGCAAGGAGGGGAAGGTGCCATTCCACAGAGCCAAGATTCCTTCATCTCGAATAATCTGGTGGAATGCATCTAAGCAAGAAGCCAGGCTTTTGTAAAGCACCATGATAGTGCCCTAACTAGAAAAGACAATTGTTCTGTCTGAATGGATCCAGATAGAAACCATCCTCTTTTTGATGATATTTTGGAGGCAGATTCCCTATTTGGGTATCTTTCTGTTCATTTGTTTGTTTGTTCTTGCTAGGTAAGCCCAGTATGACCTTGAACACTTAAATCTTCCTGCCTCAGACAACAGGTGTGGACTGTCCTGCACTGGAGTTAACTGCCTTGTTTTGTTTTGTTTTGTTTTTTTAAGACAGAGTTTCTCTGTGTAGCCTTGGCTGACCTGGAACTTGATCTGCAGACCAGGCTACAAAGAAACCCTGTCTTGAGAAACCAAAAAAACAAAAAACAAAACAAAATTAATTACCTTGGGGGACTGTGCAGTAAGCACCTGTAACACCGGCACTGGGGAAGTTAAAAGGCAGGAGGATCTCAAGTTTGAGGCCAGCCTAGGTTACATAGTGAGATTGTCTCAAAACCAGTAACAAGCTGGATATGGTGGGTCACACCTGTGATCTCAGTAGTTGGAAGGACTGCTATGAATTTGAGGCCAGACTAGGCTATACAGTGAGTTCAAGGCTAACCTGCGAAATGGCAAAATTCTGCCTTAAAAAGAAAACAAACCCTAAACCCTTGGAGCTGGGGACATAACTCAGTCAGTAGAGTGCTTGTCTAGCACACACAAAGCCCCGGGTTCAGTCTCAGGCAAGGCACTGTGATGCACTCCTGTAATCCCAGCTCTGAGAAGTGGAGGCAAGAGGAACAGAAGTTCAAGATCATCCTCGGCTATGAGCCTGAGGTTAGCCTAGGCTACAAAAGACTGTCTTAAAAACAAAAAAGGCTGGGTGGTGGTTGTGCAAGCCTTTAGTCCCAGTAGAGGGAGGCAGATCTCTGTGAGTTCAAAGCCAGTCTGGTCTACAGAGTTCCAGGATGATCAAGGTTAACAGAGAAGCCCTGTCCTGAAAAACTAAAAACAAGCAAAATAAGAACAAAAACAAAACAACAATGACAACAATAAGAATATTTAGTTTAGGGGTGTAGCTCAGGGGTAGAATGCTTGCCTAGCACACTTGAGGCCCTAGCTTTAAAGCCTAACACTGCAAAAAGTTAAATAAAAACTCACATACTCACAGCCTCTTCCCCATCTGCTCTTTGGGAACAGTAAGCACCTCTACCCTAGTCTTAGGCTTGTTATTAGGCAAGACACAAACAGGGGCACAGTAGGTGCTCCCACTGGTGGTGTGCCACTGTTTGAGAAGAGTATACTCAGGGCTGAGGAGACTCAGTCATGGTCAGCTCAGAGGAGTTCTTACCAATCACAGACACAGAAACAATAGTTTGCTGGGATCTGAGGCTGTCTGCTAGGCAGCTTTACTGTGGAAACAGACAAACATACAAGGACACATCCTGGAGATACTTACCGATTATGCCTTTGTAGTTAGTTGGTATAATGTCTTCATTCCGAAATTTTGCCCCTTGCAACTTCAGTCTGGTGTTCACCACCCAGAGTGGAGTCGTCAGCAGCACATTCACCACTCCTGAGAAACAGAGAGATGCCTGGTGGCACAGCGCGACCTGCTAAGCTCTGCTCTACTAGGTTATACACAACACTCCATTTATATCTCTGCCACTGACTGCAGTTACGGCTTATTTTCGTGCTGGGGTACAACATTCCTGCCATTAGAAGCTGTTTGGAAGCACGGCTGATAGCAGTGTTTACTCACACAAAAGGAGTGGAGAATTCCCTTACCCACTCAGTGAGGGCAATCATTTGTTGATTTAAAAAAAAAATAACATTCAAAATGGCAGTTTGGGGATGGGGATTTAACTCTGGGGTACAGCAGCTGTCTAATACATGCAAGGCCTAGTTCAATCACCAGCAATGCTAAAGAAAAAAACACAAGGTTACCCCAAAAAAGAAGTAGCATATAATATAGTTTTAAACAAATTGTTAAATAAGAGCTTCTGAGAGGGGGTAGTATTCTATTGACACCATGCTAAACCCATGTCAACATCAGAGAAAACAAGTGCCAACTCTCACACAAGATAGCTCACACGGCTTTAAACAAGTATGATCTGGTACTCAGGGTGACAGGTGGGAGGACAGGGTGACATTTCCAAGTGCTTCAACTGGGACCAAAAGCTCCCCGAAGAGCTCATCACTCCGAGGGTTAGGACAGGCAGCAGCAGGCAGCAGTTACAAAGCGTTACAACACTGAGATCATCACAAGCACAGAGACGGACCTTGGCCCCCCAGGCTGCCTCAGAGCAGCACAGTGAGTCAGACGCTCCTTTGAAAACACATGGTCCCAATTTAACAGCATCTTGAGATATTAAAACTTCCTCATAGTCCTGAAATGATCAAAGAAAATACCATACAGGATTGTAACAAAGCGTCTGACAAGTGGTGTATACTTTGTAACTACAGACCAAGCAACAAGCAGTGGGTAAGTATAGTAGAGCTGTCTAGCTCCTGCTGAGCCCAGAAGAAGAACAATCCTAAAGAAGACAAAGAAGCCCCCCTCCACTTTGCTGAAAGTCCTTCAAGGGCAAAACAATGGTAAAAAAATGTTTTCATTTAAGAAATCTCAAAACACCCACAGAGAAAACAGTTTAATCAAGGATAAAAACGATGAAAGCAGTCAAGAGACTGAAATCTTTCTATCTTTTGCATACAGCTACCAAAGTAAGATTTTTTTTGCTTATTTTCCAGATGTACCAACATATTTCCCTAAAGAAAAGATAGTATCAAGTAATCTTATGAATTGCAGTTCTATAGATTCACATAATACCCAGAAGCTATCTAAAGCTCTGACTCTATTCACACATTGTCTCGAGGCGTGGATCATGATCTGAAAAAGCTGTGCCTGCCCCAGAAGATTCTTGCTGGACTCTTTCTAAAAGAAAAAAAAGCCCTACAGTGCCCCATAGTCCAAGACACATGCACATCTGCCCAGAGTTCAGAATGGATACCTACTTGATAATGTATACTTCACTTCACAGAGACAAATCAGTTATGGGAAAATCAGGCCAGAAAGTGTTAGTGACAGTCAGCAGCTTTTGTCCCCCCCTCCCCTTTTCTTTTCTCTTTCTTGCTTTCTTCCTTTATTTCTTTTCTTTTTTTTTTTTTTTAAAAGAGAACGACAAGACAGGAGAGCTTGGAACCCATGGCTACAGAAAAGCACAATGTATACACCTTTCCAAACAAATGAAATGCAATGTCCATTAAGCAGATCCTTTAGAATTCAAAATAATATCCTTCAGGCTCTATTCAATAAGTAGGCATACACAAAACACTTGAGGGGCAACGCAGCCTAGAATAAGATTCAGCCATTAAAGCACTGTTTCCACATTCCTATTACTAAACAGCAGAAAAGACTGAACGATTCTTAGGACAACCTCAAGTACCAAGTGTACCGCAATATTTAAATGAAGGGATAGAAAGTCATTCCAAAGCTTTGCATCTGAGGCGGTCAAGTACTTCCTTCATCCTCTGAGTCAGAGTGGATGGGAAGTGCCTTTTACCACGAAAATCTTATGAATTCTGGGGAGGAATACACTCAAAATACTTGACAATGCTTTTTAAAAACTTCATCAAAATTTGCAGCTTACATAATCAAGTGAATGGCAGTGTTCCAGAGTTCCTCATGACTAACTCCAGTCCCTAATAACGTACCACAGGCGGCCCCTCGAGGGAGCCAGTTCCAGTATGTGGGTGTTACTCTAGCTCTAAGACCTAAGTACTAATTAATGTTCTTCTTACCTAAGGGGATGAGGTTATTTTTCTTTGGAGTATCGTAAATTTACTTTCTTTTCCTTTTCAATAACAGATCATTTAGGAGAAAGCAGACCCAAAATCAAGAGCTGTGCACACTAATCAAACACATAAAACCCACTCTCCCACTCTGGTAAAGGAGCCAGGGAACACCATCCTAAATTAGCAGCCAGAATGCTAATCTTTGAATGTAGGCTCTTGGAGGCTGGAAGAGGCTCCACTCTGACGTTTACTTATTTGCCTAAAGACAATCCTCGAATACCACAGGAGAGAAAACTGGGTTCTGTTACTACACCTGGATAGACTGTCACAAACTGTTGTCTGTCTCCCCAGCCAATTCACTTCCAGAGAGAATCACCCAAACCACTCTGATCTCCAGACCCACTCAAAAATTACGTCTTTCCTTCTGACGAAAAGGGTGCATAGTTTATTGTGTAGTCACTGACCTGACTACACATCCTGTGTGATTTAAATACATTTGTTCTAATGAAGATCATGCTGTATTCCTCCTGAGAGAGACAGTGGTAGTTAAGACTTTCATCTGTGTATGTGTACTGGCTGGTTTTGTGTGTCAACTTGACACAAGCTTGAGTCATCAGAGGAAGGAGCCTCAGTTGAGAAAATGTCTTCATGAGATTCAGCTCTAAGGCAGTTTTTCAATTACTAATCAATGTGGGAGGGCCTAGTCCATGGTGGGTGGTGCCATCCCTAGGCTGGTCCCAGGTTCTACAAGAGAGCAAGCTGAACAAGCCAGGTAAGCAAGTCAGTAAGGAGCACCCCCTCCATGGCCTCTGCATCAGTTCCTGCCTCCAGGATCCTACCCAGTTTAAGTTCCTGTACTGACTTCTTTCAATAATGGCATGCAAAACAGAAACGTAAGCCAAATAAACCCTTTCTCCCCAACTTGCTTTTTGGCCATGGTGTTTAGGTGCAACAATAGAAACCCTAAGACAATCTGCCATTTTTTTTACTTAATTCTATCTTTTCTTGGGGTGGGGATTGTTTTTTGAGACATGGTCTCACTTGTGTATCTTTTCCCGTGTTAACCGGTCCACCGTCAGCTAAATTCAGACACCTTTCCAGGATACAGAAGCAGATGTTTCCATCCTCACCCCAGGAATAACTGGGACACTGCTTTTTACTTCTGAAATTGTCAAAATAAACAGCATTGTTTAAGAGAGAAGATGAAAATATGTCTAGGATGTCCAACTTGGAAGCATGTAATGACAGTTGATACAAGAAAATGTCTAGGAATGGGGAGATGGAATTCAGATCCTCAGCACCCCATAAGAAGCTGGGTACGGGGGCCTGGTGGTGGTGGTGCATACCTTCAACCCCAGCATTCAGGAGGCAGCCTGGTCTACAGAGAGAGTTCCAGGACAGGCTTTAAAGCTGCACAGAGAAATCCTGTCTCTAAAAATAAACAAACAAAAAACAACAACAAAAAAACCTGGGAATGGATGGTTGCATGTGCCTCTAACCCCAGTGTTGTGTGTGTGGAAGGAGAGGAGGACCAGAAACGGGTGGGCTCCAAATTCAAGGGCTCCAGTGAAAAACATACTTGAAGGAAATAAGACTGAGAGCTGTAGAGGACTCCAGTCTCCACACATGAACACAGGTAACATGCACGCATTCGTTCATGCATGCACACACATAAATAAATTTTAAACAGAGAATGCTGTGGAACAATCTTTTTGTACACTATGAACATGTATTAGTCTCAAAAGTTGATTGGTCAATAGCTGAGCAGGAAAGAGACTGAGCACAAGAGCCAGACTAAGAGAATTCTGGGAAGAGGAAGGGCAGACTCAGAGAGTAGCTGGCAAACGCAGAGAAGCCAGGTGAGAATGCCACAGCAAGCCACGTGGCTAAATACAGGTAAGAATTATGGGTTAATTTATGTGTAAGAGTTAATTAATAACTATTCTGAGCTATTGGCTGAGCATTATAAGTAATATTAAGCCTCTGAGTATTTATTTGGGAACTGGTGGGCGGGAAGAGAAGTACCCAACTAAAAGAGAAAGGAAATGGCAAATCAAGTGTGGAAGGCTAAAGCAGGAGTGTAGCATGACTAATAAAAACCTAGAGACAGATATTGGAGTTCAAGCTGAAAGATCAGAGAAGCAAAGCAACCAACCACTAGAAAGCTCTTACCTCTATGAAATCTTCAGACTGAAAAGAGAGCAAGTTCCTGTCTCATCCCACCTTATATTCCTCTGTAGGGCTGAGATACAAGGCATGCACCACCACCACCTGGCCTCTATGGCTAACTAGTGTGACTGCTAGGATTAAAGGTGTGTGCCACCACTGCCTGGTCTTATGGCTAACTAGTGTGGTTAGCTTTGCACTCTGACCTTCAGGAAAGCTTTATTTATTAAAACATAAATAAAATATTATCACACAGGAGGGTCATGAATTCAAAGCCAGCAGTGTCTGTATAGTGAAAGTTTATCTCAAAAAGCAATCCTTACCCCTCAGAAAAGATAGAACAAAATAAACAAAATGGCAGATGAAAGCCACAGGTCTGAGCTACTTACTTTCTCCCTAGAGAGGTGTGCAACATGATGTACAAGAATAAACCTGACTGGCCAGATTAAGGCAGAGGCAGGAGGTACATCCTCAACTCTGAAAACTGGCAGCTGGCATTCAAAAGTGCTGCTGTTCAAAATCACAATTTTACAATGTGGCCAACAGTCTTCAGTTACGTTATCTGTAAGGTTCTAGTTCCAAATTCTTCTAGGTATGCTTATGTGATTATTCTGT